AATGATATGTAATATGCCATAATCTCCTCATCAGAAAAGTCAAATTTGTGGACAATAATAGAGTTTACATAGTTATTAGAGAGCAGGTAGTCTGAAAAACATAAAAGAAGATAAATAACAACACAGGTTAACAAAAAGAAATAATCACTATGTTAACTAGCTGTATTTAAAGTATCAGGTACCAACAAACTACCTGATGCTTGAATATCCCAATTTTTAGCCAAACAACTCAAGTGATGGTTTCAAGTGGTAACAAAAGGAAATTGTTCCCTACAAAGGTCTTTTCTCCCAAGAAGAAGACAACTGAGAATATACTTCATCAATTTATGTAGGCTTTGCAGCTAATAAATAACACTGAAAACAACTCTCTCTTCCTCAAAGTGAATCTCTCAAGGGCTTGAATGTGACTTTCTCTTCATGACAGTTGTGGATACTTTAATCCTCTGTCCTCTTTATATGCTTCTAAAAACCTTGAAGTAAATGCAAGTGGCTGAACGCCAGCCCCAGTGATGTCAGAGCAGTTCCAGTACAAATCAGACAGCTCCACTGCATAATCTGCAGCAGCAAGGTGAACATTTCAGAGCACAACTAATTTCTGACTTGAAGAACTCCTTGAAATACGCAAAGTAAGTGTTTCAGTTGTATCAAACAACTGCTTTTGTACTACTGAAACTTTACATTAGAAGGTATTTTTGGAGTCAAATGACACTGTATTTTCAGTAGTGTTCAATGTATGTATTTCTTCTGGGAAGGGGCACTAAGATCAAGTTTCATTAAATGAAATAGATTTGAATTGTGTCTTGAGCACCTAATCCTAAACAGTTAAAAGTGTGCCCTTACACAGCGATGTTTCATGACTGATGTTCTCAAACAGGATGTTCAGGGTCTGCAGAAGCTGTACACACACGTAACGGCCAGACTTCTGACGCAAGATGTTCAAGAAGAAAACAAACATATTCTTCTCCAAGAAAAAGCTGAAATAAAACAGAGGTGTCATTAAGTCACTTGCTGTATCCAACAGGAACATCATTTTACTACTACGAAGGACAATTCCAGGCAAATTTAACAAACAGCATGTTTCACATTTATGAAGAATTACTCTGCAAATTTTTATCTGTATAACAGAAGAGTATCTTCAAAAACCTTAAATACTAACAAGTGCACTTAAACATTCAAACTGTGCAGAAAAGGGATGTCAAGAAATCAGGGCCTTTTAAATTTTACTTTCAGTATATTTATCAGGCAGGGGAGAGCCTCTAAACGAAGGTTACATTTTGGTCACTTGCCCTTTTTAACCTAACACACTTTTTGTTTCACGCTGCAGATCCCATTTTTGATCTACTTTGGTTTTATTCTCCTCCACCCCAGAGGCATTTCATGGTTTGTTGTACAATCCAAACAGAAGTGAACGCTTGCAGAGCTTAAACAAGAAATGCATGTGATTTAAACAGCATGAACTCTTTCCTACCAGGACATCACAAATACATAGCTATACATTAACTGCAGAAAAAACCTCCTCATTCCTAAAGTTCTCCCAAGCAGAGAAGACAGAGAGGAATGTGATGGAGTTGCAGTATAGATATGAATAATCAGAATAAGTTAATTTTCCTAGTCCACATCATAACCCAATCTTGTAAAAATAAAACCATGCACTCCCTAAATAAGTAATTAAAAGCATTAACACCTTAGCTTTACTTATCTCAATCACAAATTGCCTCCATAAAAGAGCAAGTGTCTTGGTGCAAGCAGCCAAGCAACGGGCATTAACACAGTCAGACTTGCAACTGTGAGAATTTGTTTTGGAGTTTCTTTTTCTCCGATGCTGTTTTATGATGATTAAAGTAAAATCTGAACAAAAACCTCACAGTATCACAGCTAGAATATCTATTACCTTACATAAATTGAATAAATTAAAGTCACATGATATTCATAGCTGTACTGAGTAAATCCCAAAATCGGTTAGATTTTGTATTTATATCAAAGTTTTGAGTGCCAGACAGAAGCAGTACATGAAAGGGTGTGTAGACTTACAACACATTTTTGTTAACAAAACCAAATTCTCTGTTTCTTCGTATGACAAGAATATGATGCTGCTTATGCGTGTACTACATTCATGAAATACAGTCTTGGAAGAATTAATCTTTTGAACTAGATCTCTGTGCAACTCTAATCATTCCTCAAAACCAGATCCAGAGTCAGAGTTGCTTAGGAGTACTTACTCAAAGACAGAGCCGTCATTCTGATCCCCCCATATGAGGATCTCTGTTATAGAACGGATGGTCTCCACCAGCAGGTTGCGGTTGTGATCTGTGACTGTTGTGTTTTTAGTTAAAACATGATACATGTACCTAAAAGAAAACAAAGAATTACAAGTAGCACGCTATCCTGCCACTTCCACACGCACCGTATTTGTCTTTAGCCACTTTAAGTTAACGTGGACACGGAGACACATACACTATGTCTAATCAGCACAATCCTAAAATCCTAAAATTTTGGTTTGATATCGATGCAGAAAGAAAAGTAATCGTTCAACAGAACCCGTGACAACAAATCCATGGCTAGCCAGGAAGTTATGGATGCTTATGCATATGTTAACATAGGACTAGGAACGATGTAACACTTGTCCCACGGGGCTTCTTATGGCAAAGCAGCACATTTCTTGGAAGTATGTTAAAGTCAAAGGAGAGATGAGCAAGGAAAAGAGAAATAAAAGCAGCAGACAAGAATGTAGCAGCTGATACGGAAAAGAGGCACGTGCAGATCTAACCGGAAAAGCTAGATCCCTTCTGCACAGACGCTGTACAGACACACATCGATGTGATGGTTAATAAACTGCACTGTCAATGGCTCCTCATTCATCTTGGCAAAGCTCAACCGTCAAGTCCGACCCTTCAAGCATAGAAAACTGATCAAAAGGTGGCAAATTCCAGCTTTATTGTCTCAGAGGGCAAAATCTGAAGGCTGTCTAGTGAAGTTGAAAAAAGTGTGGATTACAGCAGGTGACAGGAAGCCAAATAAAATACAAGCCTTTCAAATTTTAAGTTTCAGAATTTCACTGAGTCAAGGAACCACGTTTTGGTTTTTTTTCCCCCATCTTAATGTTACATCAAAGATTACCTCTTTTTGTCCTAAAACAAAAAAGGCAGGGGAGAATTCTAATAAAAGCACTGCTTTCCTCCCTCTGTTTTCTTTTTCTTTTACATAGTAATAAAGAAAAAAGACGGACGGAAGAAAGGTGCATAATCATGAAAGTGATTAAATAACAAATATAATCAGAGAAATTTCCTGTCATTTTAAAACTACAAGAGTTTAGGTAACTAAACACAGATCATAGATATTCAATATACAATACTGCAATCTATTGAAAACCAGGAGTAACAGCTGAGCACTCAGGATTATCTGGGCAATACACTCACACGTGTTTGGGAAGGAAGACAGATTTTTCTACATTGTCAACCTTCCCGTGAAAAGTGGAGTTAAACACACTTTTTTGGGAAAACATCCTGTGTGTCCTGACTCTGGGGCAGCCTGGCATTATTGTTTTGGATTTCATGGAAGTTTGTTCAGTGATTCAGTTTGAAATGTTAAGAATCTTATTAGTATGATGGAGGAGTTCACAAGTCCAAGACAACAATTTTTAAGCAATAGACCTAGAGATCTCAAGCAGCTATTGTGTAAAAGATTAAAATACCAATTTGGCCAAGCTACTGCAGGGTTCTAGGAAACACTGTGGCTTTCTAAAACAAAATGTTGGGGTCTCTGGTTTAAAGTAAGTTTCAGACTTGAACTCACATTTCAGAAAACAGGATTCCCATCAATTTTAGCTACACTGAAACCGAATCATTGCACACAGCAAACACGCAGCTGGAGATTAAAGTGTCATTTAACTGAACACATGTATTAGGCTGTTCCAACTGTCTATCAGACTTACGAAGACAAAACAAGGTATCACCTAGTTCCAGAACCTTTTTCATGCTTGAATTCAGTTGGAAAAAAACCAAAAAGTTCTATCATATCTGAAGTTTACTTAAAATTTGCAAAACTCAGTTTGGGGAACCACTAAGCTGTCACTCAGCTGGGCAGAGCTTCCTGGGACTCTGTCCTCATAAGCCACGCAGGAAGCAGAAGCTATTTCAGAGAAGTTTGTCATGATGTTATAGTAAAGTGCTGTATGCTTGCTGATCTTGATATTGCTTGATCATCAAATAACTGCACAAGGACACTGAGAGGTAAGCAACATTTAGAAGTCCACAGTTTTAACAAGTTTGATATACTGCATGCTTCCTTCCGTCCCCACCAAAACCAGCTGTGTGATAAAGCCCTCATCACATTCAGGTTAACCTCCCAGATAGCAGAGGACAGGAAGATAAAGGGAAGAGATGGCAAGAGGGAGAACAAGATGGGCTCTTCGTACTCCTTCTCTTGAGTAAAAAATTTTCTCTCCTTCTTCATGCTGTTTCCCCCTCCCCTCATAAATCAATGCTCATTTTCCAACTCCAGAACAGAAACTGCTCAGATTGAAACCATTCTAGGAAAAGTTGATTCATGGCTACAGCCATAACTGCCTGGTCACGTGCTGTACCGTAACAGGAGCCACTAAATAGCAAGTCAAAGAGCACCTGCAAATCCTCTTCCACTAATCTGAGGATCACGGCTCAAGATGCCTTCTATGGACACTGACAGGGCGACTGCTCGCAGTGAAGATGCAAGAGCTTAAGTCTGGCCAACTCTGAGAATTCCCAATGGTTTCTAAAAGAGTGCACGGCACACAAGCCCTACAAAATCCTTCCATTATGGCACTATACATATTATTGGGAAAGTGAATCAAAAGACAGAGCAAGAAATAAGTCACTGCTTGGAGCAGGCATCCATTAATGGAACAGTGAACAGCCGAAGACAGAAGGCAGAAATCAGGACAGTTCATCACACAGCAATCTGTATATTAAGTATTTTTCCTGAGAGAGTTGATTTAAAGGCAGTAATTAATACTACACTACTTCACATATTTTAGCCTGTTTATTTGCAGTCATATAAATTATCACATCTATGAACATGTATTTCTCATTAATAAGTTACATTATGCAAAACTGGGAATGAAGTTTACTCCAATAGCAGAACTCTGGGAGTGGGAAGCAATGGGAAGAACGACGTGCTATTATCTCACCTCAGGAGTCTGTGGAACATAGAGCATTACAGATGCAAAAGTCAAGAAATATTCAATAGGCAAGAGTACATTAACTCCTAATTAATTTACTTAATATCAACATGACAGCAACACATATGTTTGCTAACACATTGATGCGTTAGAGGAAACCCAGGCTCCACTTTCAAGCTATTCCTTTATTCATTAACTTGAAAATGAATGAGACAGCACGCACAAACTTGTTTTTCTTACCAGACATGCAACATATTGTATCATGAGAATATAAGTTATCACACAAACCCACTATTTTTATATTTACATAAATCCTTAAAGCCTATCTTTGAATGCTAATTACAAAGGGGTCAAGATTGGGTTCCAAAACACTAAACCCTCAAGATGAAGATTTTTGTCATCTCTGTCTCTGTATATCTGAGGACTGGGTTTAAGCAAACAAGCAAAAACCTAACAAAAACCCACCATGCATGGTGTGCCAAAGCACCTGATACCACCAAAATCAGCCGGAGATTTTGCCAGCAACTTAACAAGACAAACAGAATTCTGAACATTTTTCTGGTAAGAAACCATGCCCAAAGGGATAACACAATAAGTCCTGAATATAGAGAGTGTGTATTAATAACTTTTCTACTTATTATTTACAAAAATATAATAAAACAGATAAGAGCTTAGGAAGTTAAGCACTCAGATTTAAGACCCCAGACAACCGTAACGTGCTTGCTTCATCACGCTGCCTGTAACTATGTAATTACCTATTACTTTCAGAGGAAACCTGATGTATAGCATGGACAGGACTTCAGGAAATGAATCAGCTGTGAAACAAGTCTTTAACCACACGTGTTTACAGACACTGCGTCTGACCGAGCCACGAGAAATGTTTAGCACCAACTCCAATGGTATAAAACCTTTTATGCAATTAAAATACCAAGCACAGAAGCAATAATGGGAAGCATACCTGAAGGTAGCAACAGGTCTATGTAAAATACCTTTTAGAGACTAGAAGAGTAGGGGGAAAAAATTGCAGCTAGGAACAAAGACACTAAGCTTAAGTTCCAAAGCCTTTTACTTTAGCAGGAACACCCAAAGAGATTATCGGATTTCTTCAGAAATGGTTGAGTTAAAGATATCACCACTTAAATCCTGTGATAAATGACATAAATGCTCTCCATCCATTTCAATGCAAAGTCAGTTTGTAGACATATGAGGAAAAAAGATAAGAGTTCTGCTCTCAAGTAGATCTGACCATGCATCTGCTAAGGTTAGACGATCCTTAGCTGGGCAACATGAAAATCTTTTTGGTCCTTTAACTGTAGGCCACAGCTCCTAAGGCAAGGAGCAGCAGCACCGTGGCTATCACAGTCAGCAGCTGGACGGAACAGAGAGAAACTCAGACCCAGAAACGCCTGGCTCACACGTGAAGGGGCACAGGAGAAAGAAGAACACACAGCTTGTGAGAAAGCACTGACTTCAAGTTTGGGTCGTAAGAGACTGTTGCCCTAAACTGCCTTGATGTATTTGCTCTTAGAACTGGAAGCCTACAACAAACAGAGCCAAGGACTATATGGAGAGAGGGGAAAAAGGTCTTGTTTTCAAACCACTGGATGCCAACTTGAAGAAGTGGATTCTGGCCTTGTTTCAGACAGTCTCACGTAGAGATAAAGAAGTAATTTAAGACCATTTTCACAAGCAATCACCAACATTGCTCCTGTTTCCAGAATATTTCTGCTTTCTCCATTTATTAAGCTATTGACATGCCCTCAATTACCAACCAAAGGGCACAAAAATGTCAAGTTCTCTGAAAAATAATAGTCAGAAGCACTTGAACAGTGCATAGTACTGTTTCAGAGCCTCTCTAGATCACAATTTGGCAAGGCATTAGAAAACTGGATTAAATTAGAACTGTTTTCACTAGACCAAGAGATTGTATCAAAACACGTAATATAAACAGCCTCACAATTTCTCTTTTGCCAATCCATTCTCCAGCATGTTTGCAGAAAGACGGAACAGTAACATTTCAAAAGCAAGCCTCAAACAAAATGCATTAAAGCTGATGCAAAAGGAAGTTCCAGATCCAACTTTTCCTGACAAAAAGCAGTAACTCAGTGTTACTGAACAGGTGTATTGTTTACAGTTTAGACTAAACTCTACTTTATGCATGTTAAAGCATAAGAATACTCCCATAAGGATAGCCCTGGCTAATTTCACTCTTATAA